CTGGGGCAGAGCTGCAGGTGGCTGCTGGAGGACCACAGGCTGTGACCACGTGGTCCCATCTCACCTGATCCTTCTTGAGTGTGATCTGCCCGATCTCCCGGTTGCCCACAAAGGAGCGTGTCACCTTGTGCACCCGCTCGCCTGCCCGTACGCGGATGATGAAGTTTGGAGGGAAGTAGCCAATTTTTTCACCGATCTTCCCCTGAAAGAAGTCAGTGGATGGGGAGGTGGGAGTTGGAGCCAATCTGTATGACCCCCAGATTACCACTTGACAGCCTGCAGGTTGTGGGTTGGCAGGAGGACACAGCAGGTTTAGGGGCTGTGTCCCCCTTAGAGTGCAATTTGCACTCCCAGCTGACATCTCCCTGTGCTTTAAGCTCTGCACCTTTTCCCGCGGTGCTTGCAGGACACCAGCCTTACCCGCCACCACTCCTCATTGGAGTCATCGACCACCGTGATCTTCTCCCCTGGCCTGCGAAGGGAAGGAAGGGCTCAGTGTAAGGGGAGGCAGCGATCCCCTGCCATGGGAGACCCTGAGGCTGGGGAGGAGAATTGCTCTTCCCCCAGCACCAGCTCCAAGAGCCCTGTGTCAGGGGAGGTCGAGGAATGCACACAGCCCACGGCCTCAGGGACAGACAGGTCCTGTACATGAGCCGCTCAGCCTTCAAGTCTGGGGTGCAAGAAATCAGTAGAACCACATCAAGACAAACATCAGTGGCCTTGTAAATGAGGTTTGTGTCCAAAGGCTGGGAGCCAGGAGAGCTCAGTGAGAGCCAGGGCCCCAGCTTGACACATAGCCCATTGGGGCAGGCAGAAAAGCCACAAAACCCAAACCACAGCCAGCGTGGCTCCATGGCTCTAATTTCTGCCCTCATTCATTCATCCACAGATCCTCTCCTGGCTTTGAGAGCCTCATTGTTGAGGTGAAGACTTCTCCCCCCTGCCACTAGACACCCCACATCCTTCCCCTTGTCATCCCGGTGCCCACTGCGTGGCTGGGAACTTACGGGAAATCCAGGTCATCTTTCTCCAGGGCTTTGAAGCGGTAAAGTGCCACGAAATAGTGAGACTGCAGATAGCCACCACGAATCCCTGGCTGCGGCTTCTTGTTCTGGGAGAGGAGGAAAGAGGGGCCCCAGAGAGGCTGAGGACAGCCCCAAGGAGCCCAGCAGGGAGATCCCTGCAGCCTCTGCCCATGCTCAGGGGCCTTTGGGGTACATGGCGAGGATGATAGCTACCTTGTCATCTGTTGGGCTCTTCTCAGTCTTCTTGTCCCCTTCAGAGGTGCCTGGAAATAGGAGGGGCCTTACATCTCTCCTAGTGCTGCCTTCCTGCCCTGGGACCAGCCTCCTCCTAAGGATCTCCTGTACCCAGGCCAACGAGGGGAAGCAGAGAGAGCCCCAGGGTGGACACCTGAACTGAAGACTCCCTTTCTGTAGGGCAAACCATCCCTCGGTGGGCCCAAGTACAGTCTCCCCATCAGCATCTCTCCCTGCCCCGTGCTCACGGCTGGAGCACAGCCCCCACCCCGGCTCCTCAGCCCTCGCGTGCAGCCAGCCCTGCTGCAGTCGCAGCACTCACCGCCATCGGTTTTGCCCCCTTCTGGCTTCGTGGCCTCTGGCTCCTCGTCCATCATAGCAGCTAAAGGCTGCAAGGCACAGAGCTCTCAGGGGGTGCAGAGTGGGCAGGGAGGTGGGGGTGGCAATGGGATGCAGGCTGCGATGCCAGGACCCTTGGGCGTTTGGAGCAACAGGCCAGCTCTGCACTCACGTTTTTCTTGTCATCTTGCCCTTTCTTGCGCTCCTTATTGGCCATAATGACACCTGTCCGCAGAGTCTCAAACACGGGGTCACTCCTGTTGGCTGCTGCTAGGGCACAGGGATGGTGAGAGGGGTTCAGTTACAGGACACGAGGAGATGGGGCACCCTGGCACGGGAACAGTACTTACAGAGCAGCTCCTTGACACAGGCGTATTGCTGGTCACTGTAGAGGGGCGAGCTGTACGCCCGGCGAAACCCTGGGGGCTGGAAAGAGGGGGTCAGAGCATCAACCACCACCCGGAGCCGTGGGCCCTCCTGTGAGAGCTGAGGGGTGAGTGGGTGGATGCTGGGGCCCAAGAAGGTGACCACCCAGCAGAGAGGTGATGCCTAGGTCCCCCCCTCAGAGCCAGAAGCAAGGTGGGTCGTGGCACCTGGGTCATTCCCACAGGGAATGAGCCAGCTGCTCCCTGCTGTGGTGCTTTGGTCTTCCCTGCAAGGAGGTGCCCCAAGACCAGGGCCAGCAGGAACACTCACAATTTTGCCGAAGCAGCGCTGCATCTCCACGTAGGACTGGCAGTGGTGGTGGATGTGTGTTTTGCAGTTCTTGCACCTCAGGCCAAATTTGTTGTTGACTGGCAGGGGGGTTGGGGGGGTGGGTGGAAAGGAGAGGCAATGTGACACTGCAGCTGTGGGGAGGGCTGGGCTGGAGCCCTCGCCAGCCCTGGCCCCCAGCCCCAGCACCCTCAGGACTCACGGACAATCATGCGGGCACAAACATCACAGAACTTGGGCTTTTTGAAGTAATGATCTTTGAACTTGTGGGGTTTGTCATTGATAAGTTTCTGGGGCTCAGGAGGGGGCTCAGGCTCCTCCTCCTCTTCCTCCTCTTCCTCCTCCTCATAGATGTAGTAGATGGGTCCCCCTGAGGGGCTGACCAGCTCCCCATTGGGCTGCAGCTCCGGCACCGTTTCCTCCTTGGGCTTTCGCTGGAAAAGTTGCTTCAGCTTCTGTAGCTGCTGGGGCAGGAGAAGATGCATTGTGCACGGCAGGGATGTGGGGTGAGGCAGGCAGGCAGGCAGAGAAGCTGGTGCCTGACTCCCTGCCCCTTTGCTCTGACCTAGAGACTCCTTCCCAAAGTGAGAGGAGGCCCCAGGAATCGTGGGGCAAAAATGCTGTGAGGATGGAGACCCTTTTCCCGGCCCTGTGAGGTCCCCACAAAAGGAGAAACTGTAACCCCTGAGCACACGTGGATGTGGGCACCCTGGGGAAAAGCCAAGCTGGGAAATGGCCACCCAGTGCCCTGCTGGATCAAGATCCCACCAGGCATCCTTGGCCCCACAAAGACTCCTGGGGCTAAGGCAGAGACAATGACAGAAAGGTGGCTTCCCCCACCCACTCAAGCTGCCCTGTGGGCACCCACTTACCCGGCTCTTGGGTTTCCCACCTGAAGCAGGCGAAGCTGGCAGCTCAGGCACTTCCTTCTCTGTCATGCTATGAGGGAAAAGGAGAGACATCACGTTGGCTGGGTCTGTCCCCACTGCCGTCCTGCTGCAGCTCCTGCCCCAGCAAGGCCCAGTTCTGCTGCGGGTGCGTCCCGGGGCCCCGGCTGGCCCTGCTGCGCGGGCTGGAGAACAACAGGCTGCTGCCCTGTGGGCACCCACTTACCCGGCTCTTGGGTTTCCCACCTGAAGCAGGCGAAGCTGGCGGCTCTGGCACTTCCTTCTCTGTCATGCTATGAGGGAAAAGGAGAGACATCACGTTGGCTGGGTCTGTCCCCACTGCCGTCCTGCTGCAGCTCCTGCCCCAGCAAGGCCCAGTTCTGCTGCGGGTGCGTCCCGGGGCCCCGGCTGGCCCTGCTGCGCGGGCTGGAGAACAGCAGGCTCCCAGCCCAGCGCGCGCAGCACTGCTGCTCGCTCAGTGGACGTGGTGCCAAATGCTGGAAGCCAGACCCTGGGCTACCTGCACGCGTCCATCGCTTTCTAGACATCGCCATCTCACAGCGAAACTGCAAACGGTGCCACTCTTGGCCCCCTAGGACAAGCATGGCTACGCCGCCGTCTGGCACCACCATACAGCTCCGCTTTCTCCACAGAGTCTTGCGCTAACACAGGCACAGGATCTGCTCCTGTGTCCCCCAAAACATGCCCGATGCCACTTCTGACTGTCAAGCATCCCCACAGTCCTTCCACCCAGACATCACCGGTTCTGGTGATATCTAACATGAGGTGCCCCTGTGTCCGCCCCCCCGCCCCTGCCCGCCCCCCATGGAAACCAGCCAGGACGACCCTTAGGGAGAGAGCGATGGGGGCTCTGGTCTGGTCCCGTGGAGAGCGGGAGTGACAGGGCAGAGGGGAACCGACAGCTGAGCGCTGGCGGAGGCTGACGCTGAGAAATTGGAGCCCATGCATGAGCCAGGAGGGGAGCGGGGTGGAGAGCAGCCACTGGCTATTTGCGTTAGTGGGTTGCTGGGCGTCACTGAGGCCCACCCACCCCTGGCATGGGGCAGCAGCGAAGCCAGGGCACACCAAGTGCTCCAGCCTTGATGTCTCGTTTGCTCTTGCATTTGAGGCCTCTGCCGCTGGGAAGGGAAAAGGAAAGAGAGGCAGCAGTGGGGTCTCTCGTGGGGCAGCTCTCATGGCTGCCCCGCACCCTCTGGCAGCAAATCCTGCTGGTCTGCTCTCCGCTGAGACAGGGAGCTGCCGCAAAGGAGACAGCTAGGACCTCACTGGTCTCACGCTGCCTTGCAGTGGGTGCCTGGAGCTGGGCAGGCACCCCAGTGCCAGAGTCCCTGGACCTATGTCCCTGCCAGGCTGTGTGTGGCAGTGGGGCAGGAGTTTGCACCAAGCCTGGGGTTAGAGCCCCCCCCTTCCAGGCAGCCCTTACCTCTCCACTTGCACCTGCTCTTGAAGGTAGTAGCATCCAGATGCTGCAAGAGGCTCCAGCTGCTGTGCGCAATGCCACGGTGAGGGTGGTGCCAGCCCAACTCCCGTACCCAACAGGGTAGGAGGACACAAGGATATCTGCACCTACCAGCCCAAGGACTGCTCCCCTGTCATCAGCCGGAATATGTTGCTTCCTGGCAGGGGAAACCGCT